GAGGGCATTATCAGCTACTGTTCTTTAATGACAATCAGATCCACGCATAATTACTGAATATGGACAACCTGCAGAGACGAGAAACAGACGAGGAGAGAGGGAGGAGGGGAAGAGGAAGAGACGAGGGAGAGAGGGGGAGAGAGACAGAGAGAAGAAGAGGAGGAGAGAGGAGAGGGAAGAGAGAAAGAAAGTATGACTCCTCTGCTCCATGTGACCTCCCCCTGTGCATTCTCTGCTCCGTCTGAACCCAAGAGTAGTCCATGAAGTTCCTCTGTCTTTTTAAACCTCGCAGGCCTTTACCAGACTTGCCTCTCCACAGATCTGACCTGAGTAACTTGATGAGCAGGTGATGGACCCTAAAAAAACTCAGAAAAGTTAGATAGCTGTGCTCCTCTTGGCCTTTTGCAGGAATAATCCCACATTAAATAAACTCTGGAGGTATTTTCAATTTACACTGCGAAGAAGGCTGAGGTGTCCATTAAAGCAAATTACATGAGTATAACTTTTTTTTTTTGCACAAACTCTTTTTGTGGACATTTACAACAACCATCTGAATTATTTAGGGGCATTAGAATTTAAAACCCTTTTTCACTCAGCTCTGTGTGGACAAAACCTTCACCCCATGACCTCATTTGGTTCAATTCTCTTCAAAACTTCAAAATGCTGAACTTATTTTCATCCCTCCCTCTCTCTATCTCTATCTTTTTTGTCTCTCTCTTCCTCTATCTCTTTGTTTCCATCTCTCTCTCTCCTTTTCTCTCTTTCCCTCTCTCTATGTATATCCCCTACCTCTTCCTCCATCCTTCACTCCCTTCCTCCAGTCCAGTCTCTCTTTTACTCTGTCCCTCCCTCTGTCTCTCTTCTCTCTCTCTCTAACTCTTTCTCTTCTTCTCTCTCTCTTTTCTATCCCTCTCTCTGTTACTTTCTTTGTCTCCCTCTCTTACCCCATCTTCTCCCTCTCTCTTCTTGTCCCTCTTTCTTTCCCTCCCTCCCTCTCTCTATTTATCTCTATCCCTCTCCCTCCACTCCATCCCTTTTTCTCTTTCTCCCTTTGTTGTCTCAGTCTCTCTCTCTCTCTCTGTCTGGCCCTCTCTCTCCCTTCCTGTCTCTCTCCCTCCTCCCTCCTCCCTCATTCCCTCTCTCTCTTCTTGTCTCTTTTTCTTTCCCTCCCTCTCTCTACATCCCTCTCCCTCCATTCCATCCCTTCTTTCCTTTCTCTTTGTTCCTCCCTCCATCTTTTAGTCTTTCTCGCTCTCACTCTCTGTTTGTTTGTACCTCTCTCTGTCTTCCTCTCTCCCTCCCTCCTCCCTCATTCTCTCTCTCTGTCCACTCCTCCATTACCTCTACCTGCTGGGTCTTTTGTTCAGAGCTACTTCAAAAACAAGTTTTCTGTGAATAATTTAACCTGAAAAATCATTGCAGAAGAATGTGAAAAATGCATGGGGAGAAATAATGCATCAGATGGCACCTTTGTTTGTTGTTTTTGGAGTTTTCCGAGTTTGGGATCAAAGCTGGAGCGCCGCACATAATGAACAGTGGTGCTAATGTTCGGAGCGCCGGAGCTGCTAATGGAAGAATACAGGGAAATATGTGTGAGCAGGACCCAAAGGACACAATGGGGTTTAGGTCTATAGTGTACAGGGATACAACAATGGATATTAGTGAAAGAATGAAATATCTGCATTTTTATGACAGAAGAACCAACATTAACATGAGACAGAGTTGACAGCTCATTTCACAAAATAACAATTAGATTTTAGTAAAAGTCTTGTCGATTTGTTTTGTGAGTTTATCGTTTGACTTCCTGATTGGACACAGGCAGCAGATGTGACATAAGTAGAGGTAATTCCATAACTGTTACCTAGCAACCGCAATGTAAACAATGGTCACAACTTGTCTAAAGTACACAACCGTTATGATTAGACTAACAGAAATAAATAACACCTTTATTTAGGCCCGGTCCACACTAGTATGCATTCGCGTTGTTTGTCGTTGTGGTTGCAGTGTTCGTTCACACTAATCCGATTGAAAACGGCTCCAGAGACGGAACGATCTGGTGCCCACAGCTCCCACAAATTCATCTAAGTACAGATCTGATCCAGCACTGTGTGGACGCCTGAAAACACTGGTACACTGATATGCCAATGTATGTCTATCCTCCGCAAAATAATTCACCTCCAAAATGCTAAGAGGCTAGAATATATGTCCATTCATATATACAGTCTGTGTGTACGACCTGCAGACGTATAACCTCTGAAAAGTTTAATATGAATTTAACATGAACCATCTCCAATGTGATAGAAGCACAGAACAGACTCACCATCAGCAGAACATCACTCATTCCACTGAGTCGTGTCCTTTAGTCCGACAGAAGCTGAACCGCATCAGCGCGCAATAGTGAGCTGTTTTTTGAGCGCTTAGTTTATGCTTATTAGCCATGTGGTTTTAAGTTCGGTTTCTGTAAAACATAGACAAATATGCTCAAAGCTGTGTGGATAGGGAAGACGGACACAGAAACGACGTGTCTGGACGCAAATTTCTGCTTTTCTGATACGGTGATCCGTTTCAGTGTAAACGTAGTCTTAGTTAAATGAAGGTTTAAACGGTCAGAAAAACGCCTTCCATTTAGGGCTGCTCGATTGTGGAAAAAATCATGATCACGAATATGTTGGTTAATACTGAAATCATGATTATTCAAAAGATTATTTTTTAGTTACACAATGCATTTACTCAGCATTTCTCTCTCAAAAAACACTATTTGGTACACTGTTATAATTTACGCAAAACTTTTAAATTGAAAACCTTAGAGCAGTTTTGCAATGTAAATAAAATGAATAAAATATACTTTGAACATGAAATAAGGCATAGAAAAATATAAATGTATCCAAATTAAACTATATATCCAGCTGTTCTACAATCTCTATATTTAAAAAATAAAATAAACATACTTATTTATATTTTTAAAAATCCCCAAATAAACTTTGTTAAGCTTCTTTCAACTCCATTATATGAGTTTGGAGATCATTTGACACGAAATTGTGATCAAAATTCAATCAGTTGCTCAGTCTTTCTTACTTCCATTGCATGAACTTCCTCTGCATTTGTCAGTTTTCTTAGATAGAGGGATTTTTCAGCACTACTTTCTGTATTTTTGTAGGCCATTTTTTTTTCTCAACATTTTTCTTCACAAATTGCCACTTAACTAATGCAAAACTATGATCAATATTTAGGTACTGATTTTTAATGGTATGCAGTGGTCCAAAGTTATTCCTCTCTTACCTCACGCATTCAGAGCGTCCGAATTATTCACTACAGGGAGTTTACGAGCACAACTTTCAAAGACCAGACGTAACACTAACAACAACTAGCATGCTAACACATACTTCCTTATTCTTGGACAATAAAACTCTTCATAATTAGATGCAGACAGTACACAGTGGACTTATTTTGACCTCAAGAGCTGATTATACAATATATCTGTACTGAGGCAAGACACATTTTGCTCAAATACATGAAAACTTTAATTTGAGTCAGAGGTTACAGAGGAAAATGAAATAAGTAAAAACAGTCCAAAAGCAACCAATCGGAGCCAGGAATCCCAACTATCGACCAATCACAAGCGAGCACACAGTAGCCTATAGTTGATGAAAACCAGCTTTGAGCATGTGGAGGAAATAAAACATAAAATCTCTTTATTTGAAAATCTGTGGATGAAAGTCAGGAAATGGAGGGACGAAGGAAGAGTAGAAACATCTGCACAAAACATCTGCGTGCAGGTCAAAATGTCACAGCATGGTCCTGGTTAGGTCCTGGTTTGGTCCAGGTTTGGTCCTGGTTTGCCCCTGGTTTTGTTCTGGCCTGATCTTGGTTTTGTTCTGGTTTGGTCCTGGTTTGGTCTTGGTTTGGTCCTGGTTTCTCCCTGGTTTGTCCCTGGTTTTGTACTGGTTTGATCCTGATTTTGTCCTGGCTTTGTCCTGGTTTGGTCATGGTTTGGTCCTGGTTTGTCCCTAGTTTTGTACTGGTTTGGTCCTGGTTTTGTACTGGTTTGGTCCTGGTTTTGTACTGGTTTGGTCCTGGTTTGGTCCTGGTTTTGTACTGCTTTGGTCCTGGTTTTGTACTGGTTTGGTCATGGTTTTGTACTGGTTTGGTCCTGGTTCGTCCCTTATTTTGTACTGGTTTGGTTCTGGTTTGTCCCTGGTTTTGTTCTGGTTTGATCCTGGTTTTTGTCCTGGTTTAGTCCCTGTTTAGTCCTGGTTTGAACCCAGTTTAGTCCTGATGTAGACTTGGAATGGTCCTGTTATAGTCCTGAGATATTCCAGGTCCAGTCCTTGTTTCGTTCTTGTCTAGGGCTGCACAATTTTGGGTATGAAAAAATCTAGTATTGCAATTAGACTTGGAGCCTTTTTTTAAAAGGCTGTAGTCAAGTAGTGTGTGTTCAGAGTGCACATTGTAAACAACTCAAGGAGCATTAACAACAGTTGTTGTTAGGACAGGATGTTTTATTATACATGAAATAATTGCAGCCTTTGTGATTTGATAATTGCAGCAACTCAAATTGAACCCTTGTCTATTTCGAGTTTAGTTTAGTCAATTTGAAATCCACAAACACACATATTAAAAGAGGCATAATGTGCAAAATTAGGTCTAACCAGAAACCGCAAGACAAGCAATAAAATGTTGTCAAAAATACCCTAAAGCATTACAAAGCATGAAAGCATTACAAGATCTGTTCTAATCTTAATGCTCGGTCCACTAGCTCCAGTCAGGCCTGTGTGAGGGACAATTATCACCACTTTTTTATTTTAAGGAAACCCCTTTCACATTTGTTTATTTATACTGACAGAGAAGATGTTGAACTTTGTGCCACTTTTTGTTTCATGTGGATAATTACAGAGGTATAAACCACAAACCAGGTCACACATGTGTATTTGACTCTAGCAGCTGATTTCTTCCAGCTCAATTTCAAACGACTGCACCATATAAACTGGACTTAAACTTACCCTGAGGCCTTCGTTGGACTGAGCTGTCTTCTGATTGGTGGAGGGGACGGTGGACACAGAGATAGTCTCGTGTGACTGGTCAAGCTGGTAGAAGAGGCGGGCCTGTATGCAGCGCAGTGCTCGCAGCATCCACCCGTGCTGTCGTCGTATCTGTCTCTGGAGCTGCTCCCATTGGACAGAGACCATGTGGAGGATGTCTCTGAGAGCTGAGGGAGAGAGAGGTTTAAGGGGGTCAAATATAGCTTCCAAAGTCAAGACTGTCAAGTTATGTCTGCACAATGAATCGAAGTTTAATATAGATCGAAATTCAATCTTTTCTAAACTAATTTGTGTCCATCGAGTCACATGTGTAAAACGTTTAGTGATGTCTCAAAGCTAATCAGGTCCTTCACAGCAGTGAAGGAGCAGCAGGCAGATCAAAATAGTCGTAAATCGACCCATAATGAGGCGAGCGTGTAAACAGGGCAGGGCTGTTTCACTCCCTTTCGGGGCAGAACTTATTCAGCTCAGAGCATTATAAATCCCTGTGTCTCAGACCAGTACCTGCATGAAAATGGCTTCTGGATGGGAGTTGAAAAGTGTGCAGATGACTACAGCAACAAAAGACACCTTATTACTATATGCCTCTTGCACTTTTGCACTATTAACCTTTTAATACACATGGGATAGTGAGAAACACAATTTCAACTCTTTGTATGATCTCAGTATGAAGAATTGACAATAAACTTTGGAATTTGAACTTGAAAATCTCATGTGCCAAGTTTTCCACCTGCAGTCCCTGAACAGGTCAAAATTGACAGTACATTAAAAATCGGTTTTAAATGCATACCTGTCTCGCCCTGGTGAGTGAGATCAGCCAATGAACTGTTCTTAAATGTATTCAAACCTCCAGGAGACATGAGCTGTACTGAATCAGTTAAAAGCTCATACTGTATATGTACATGTATTAACTCAGACTGACTCTGCGACTTCATTATTGAATAATAACTTGCTCTGTGGAGATATGAACATGTTTAGATGTCTCCTGCACATCTCCATCCTGCTCCTCCTTCACAGATGTGTGTAATCTCCCGTAATAACCCTGTGTGCTGTGATGGCCATAGGCTCTGCTCTGTCTTTGCTGTGTGTGTGTGTGTCTGCATGTTTGTGCGTTTGTGTGTGTGTGTGTGTATCTGCGTGTCTGCTCTGTTTGTGTGCACGTGTGTGTGTGTGCGTGCGTGCGTGTATCTGTGTGTCTGCTCTGTGTGTGTGCGTGTGTGTGTGTGCCTGCATGTATCTGTGTGTCTGCATGTTTGTACGTTTGTGTGTGTGTGTGTCTGCTCTGTGTGTGTGTGTGCTGTGGGCTCCTGTCTGAAGGTCACACTGATCCTCACATTAAAAATGAATGCTTCTGTCTCTGTCTCCTGCAGTTCACAGGCGCTCGTCTTTCTCACATTTAACTTTATTATAGAGCTGCCGCAGAATAGTCCTGATGCCGGAGGAAACCCATTCAGACACAGGGAGAACATGCAAACTCTACACAGAAAGGCCTGGGAGTCAAACCCACAACCTTCTTGCTGTTTGGTGAGAGAGCTAGCCACTCAGCCACCGTGTTGCCATTTCAAACTGTTCAGGAAAGCTCCAACTTTTTATCAGTATCAATCGTTCAAATAAGTATCTAGTTTTAATAGTACTTACAGATGTGTTTCCTGATAAATGTTGGGTTTACATGTGTACAGATGTGTATCCTGATAAATGTTGTGTATATGTGTGTACAGATGTGTTACCTGATAAAAGTTGTGTTTACATGTGTACAGATGTGTTACCTGATAAAAGTTGTGTATATATGTGTACAGATGTCTTACAGTTGAGTTAACATGTGTCCAGATGTGTTACCTGAACACAACTGGTTTAGTTTAGTCTGTTTTAGTCTAAACCAGCACTAAAATCAGGACTAAAACCAGGTTGAAACCAGGTCGAAACCAGGATTTAACCAGGTCTAAACCATGCCACGCAGGCTGCATCTCCTCCCATATGTCGTGCGCCCCGCGCCTCCATCGCTGCCAGTCCATGAAAATATTGTCTCAATATTGTCTATGACCTTGTGTGACAGAATGGCGGAATGTTGAAAAAAAAAAGCTTAAGTGCCACTACTCCGACCAAATAAAAAAATATGAAAATACAATATTAAAAAAAATATATATATGATCAGTTGTTATTGAAACTCGTCATTGCCAGGAACACAAAAGATGCCTTACTTCTGTGGCCTTTGTGTGTGTGTGTGGGGGGGGCTACTCAAAGGGCAGGCTCACATTCACCCAGTTTGAAAACCCCTGCTATAGATCATTAAATTACATTTGCAAGATTTATTTAGTTCTGATTACATCACTTTTCTTAATATCCCACTACATTACATTTTGCAGTCACTTTTACCATGTGCCCTAATAGTAATAGACAGATCACAAATAGCTTAGCATTAGCTTAGTACTAGCAGCCTTTGTAATGTTATATAATGATGTGTGACACACTATAGCATTTATGCATAAAGCGTCTGTGATCTGAGCAGGTAACAGGATTTAAATACAGATTATAACAGTGTAAGGGCACTGAACAGTCTGTACTGCTCAGAAAACATGTCATTAAAATACATTAAAATTGTCTGTGTTACAGACAAATAATCCATCTGTTTTATACAGTGAGTCTATGTTTCACTGGCGAATATACCAGGAGTAATATTTGCAAAGGTGTGTTTTACACACCCCTCCCCTAGAGCCCCTCACTGCTCCTAACATGTTGTTTACATTTTTATTGTGTTTTTTTTCCCCATTTTGTGTGTAAACAACATCATTTATTAAAACTCAATGTTTTTATCAGTTAATGTGATTTTTGTTTGTTTGTAAAGAAAAGCAACTTAGAACACACATTTCAGAGCCTTTGCCCCTCTCCAGCCCGCCATGATGCACTACACACTGTGCATAGTGTGTGTAATGGGGAGCTACGCTATCGAATGATGGGCCAGAGGAGGGGGGGGCACACCAACATCAAACTCACCTATGGCAGCTAATGGGCTTGATCCGGCCCTGTGTGTCCAGTTGTGTTATTTGATAAATGTTGTGTTTACATGAGTACAGTTGTGTTTACATGAGAACAGTTGTGTTTACATGAGTACAGTTGTGTTTACATGAGTACAGTTGTGTTTACATGAGTACAGTTGTGTTTACATGAGAACAGTTGTGTTTACATGAGCACAGTTGTGTTTACATGAGTACAGTTGTGTTACATGATACAGTTTGTGTTTACATGAGCACAGTTGTGTTACATGACATGTGTTCACACAGTTGTGTTACATGAACAGTTGTGTTACATGACATTGTGTTTACATGAGTACAGTTGTGTTTACATGAGCACAGTTGTGTTTACATGAGCACAGTTGTGTTTACATGAGTACAGTTGTGTTTACATGAGTACAGTTGTGTTTACATGAGTACAGTTGTGTTACTTGATGAATGTTGTGTTTACATGAGTACAGTTGTGTTACTTGATGAATGTTGTGTTTACATGAGTACAGTTGTGTTACTTGATGAATGTTGTGTTTACATGAGTACAGTTGTGTTACTTGATGAATGTTGTGTTTACATGAGTACAGTTGTGTGTTACTTGATGAATGTTGTGTTTACATGAGTACAGTTGTGTTACTTGATGAATGTTGTGTTTACATGAGCACAGTTGTTTTACTTGATGAATGTTGTGTTTACATGAGCACAGTTGTGTTGTGTCACACCTGAGTGGTGAGAGGAGATGCAGCAGAGCAGGGCACGTCCCTCCTCCATGATGTCGTCTTTGAGCACAGAGCGACTGTCCACGTTCATCTTAAAACTCTGAAACAGGAAACACAAACGGGGCTCTTACAGAGTCTGGAGCTATACAGATCCAAGCACACACAGGAGTCTACAGGTGAACCACAACAAAGGAGACTTCATGCTGATTTGGCGATGCATCAAAACAGGGAAACAGGCCGAGGAATCAAACTTCTAAATCCAGCAGAGATCTTTCCCGCCACAAATTCACCAAGCGCTTCCCTCTGCACGGGTTTAAAAGAGTCTGTATTTCTTCTTAAGCACATTTGTCAGATCGCCATGTTTGTACTGGTTTATTCTCTACCGGCTTACACCAAAACCACAACACTGTCCTGTGACTGGTCAGTCTTGAACCTATCACAAGCAACAACTAAATCCTGAGCCTAACAACATGGATTCTCAAGAGTTTCATCTCACTGCCAAGGTTAATGAATGATAGTTGAGAGCTGTGAAAATAACTGATACCCAGAAACTAATCGATAATAAAACCATAAACATTAACAGACGCAGAATTCTGTATGTGCCTGTTGCTGCAGCATGATCGTTTGGCTCATGTACCCAGAGTTATGGTGTTTTGAACGTTCCATCACATGAACACAGCCAACCCCCATATTAAAGTATAAGACCTGTTATTATTTCATGACATTTACGTGCTCTCCTCGCCGATAACAGTTTTTAGTTTTTCACAATTTTCGCAGAATATTCTAAAATGTCAGATTTCAGATTTAACATTTGGCTATATCATAAATGAAGTGAAGGAATTAAAGAGGGTTTGAAAACACTCCGCTCGCACAGCTAAAATAAACACGATAGTGACGGAATAAACGAGTCTAAACGCAGGATTAGGAGAGATTTGGAGCAGAGAGAAACCTGGACTCTGATGGTGTGTGTGAAATGTCCCCGAGGCCTAATAAATACATGTATGATAAAAGGACCTCAATAAAACATGGAGAAGACGGAGAGGGGGAGATAGAGGGAGGAGGGAGCGAGGGGGAAGAGAGGAGGTGAGGAGAAGCCTGAGGGTAGAGCTGGTTATGTGTGACCTGAGAGAGACGGAGAGAGAAAGACAGAGAAACGGAGCAGGTGGAGGAGAAGATAGAGGGAGTAAAAGATATAGGAGGATTGGGAGGAACGAGAGGGAGCGATAAAGAGAGATGTTAAAAGAAAGAGAGAGAGAGGAAAAGGAAAGGTGATAGAGAGGAGAGGGAGGGAGAGACAGTGAAAGATAAAGAGAGAAAGTAGATGAGAGAGAGAGGGAGAGAGAGGAAAGGTTGGTGAGAGGGAGAGACATAGAGAGGGAGAGAAGATGGGGGGGGAGTGAGAGAGAGGAAGGAGAGGAAAGGTTGGCGAGAGGGAGAGAGACATAGAAAGGTAGAGAGGATAAGGGGAGAGAGTGAGAGAGAGAAAGAGGAAGGAGAGGGGGAAAAGGGGGATAGAGGGGGAGAGCGTAAATTAGAAAGGACAGAGTGTGAGAGAGAAAGAGGAGAAATGGGGAGATAAATTAGAGAAGCGATGAGAGAGAGAGTGTGTGTGTGAGAGAGAGACAGAGAGAGAGAGAGAGAGAGAGAGAGAGGAAGGAGAGCGGGAAAAGGTTAGAGAGGAAGGAGAGCAGGAACAGGGGGAGAAAGGGGGAGAGTGTAAATTAGAAAAGAGAGAGTGTGAGAGAGAAAGAGGAGAAATGGGAAGAAAGAGAAGAGAAGGGACAAGGGCGAGAGGGGAGAGGAGAAGAGGGGGAGATAAATTAGAGATGAGAGAGAGAGAGAGAGAGAGAGAGAGGAGAGGGGAAAAGGGGGAGACAGTGGGAGAGTGTAAATTAGAAAGGGGAGAGTGTGACAGAGAAAGAGGAGAAATGGGAAGAAAGAGAAGAGAAGGGACAAGGGCGAGAGGAGAGAGGAGAAGAGGGGGAGATAAATTAGAGAAAAGATGAGACAGAGAGTGTGTGTGTGTGTGTGTGTGTGTGTGTGTGTGTGTGTGCGTGTGTGTGTGTGTGTGTGTGTGTGAAAGAGAGAGGAGAGAGAGAGAGAGAGAGAAAGGAGAGGGGGGAAAAGGGGAGAGAGTGTACATTAGAAAGGGGAGAGTGTGAGAGAAAAAGAGGAGAAATGGGAAGAAAGAGAGAAGAAAGTACAAGGGCGAGAGGGGAGAGAAGAAGACGGGGAGATGAATCAGAGAAGCGATGAGAGAGAGAGTGTGTCTGAGAGAGAGAGGAAGGAGAGCAGGAAAAGAGAGAGAGAGGAGGAGAGTGTAAATTAGAAAGGAGAGAGTGTGAGAGAGAAAGAGGAGAACTGAACAGAAAGAGAAGAGAAGGGACAAGGGCGAGAGGGGAGAGAAGAGGAGAAGAGGGGGAGATAAATGAGAGAAAAGATGTGAGAGAGAGTGCGTGAGAGAGAAAAAGGGGAGAGAGGGTACAGAGGAGAGGAGGTGAGGAGAAGCCTGAGGCCAGAACTGCCTCTGTGACCTGCTCAGAGACACACACCTGTTTACAGAAGGACGGCACAGACAGACGAGAGAAAAACGAGGGAGGGATGGAGGAGGAGAATAAAATAACAACGGCTCTTTTAATATTTAGATTTAAAAAACAATAATAATAATAAAAACAAAAAAGCAATATTTGTCAGTGTGAGGATTTGCCAGATTACTCAAACCTAACGGATTCATTTGGGGAAGACTTGGCCGTTCATGATGAAATGTTGAGAAGAAAAGCACAAAGCGAGTGTCCAACTGCAGAGCCTCTGGTTGTAGGGCAAAGCCATTGTGAGACTATTACACCATTGTCAGAGCAAATAATAAAAACAAGCCAAAGGTGTGTGGTGTTTTGTGTTGAGGTGACCTGTGCACTCATGTGTGTAACTGCTGAGCTATTGAGACGAAAGAGACGACAGGAGAAGAGGGGAGAGGAGGGGAGAGGAGGGGAGAGGAGAGAGGAGAGGAGAGGAGAGGAGGGGAGAGGGGAGAGGAGGGGAGAGGAGAGGAGGGGGACAAGGAGAGAGAGACGGAGAGAGAGGGGAGAAGAGGAAAGAGAGAGAGGGGAGAGGGGAAAGGAAGAAAGAGAGAGAGGAGAGAGAGGGCGGACAAAGAGTGAGAGAGAGGGAGAGGAAAGAGAGAGAGGAGAGGGAGGGGGACAAAGAGAGAGGGGGGGAGAGAGGGAGAAGAGGAAAGCAAAGCAGAGAGAAGGCGAGAGAGACGAGAAGAGGAAAGAGAGACAGAGAGATGGCGAGAGAGAAGAGAAGAGGAAAGAGAGACCGAGAGATGGCGAGAGAGAAGAGAAGAGGAAAGAGAGAGAGGCGAGGGTGGGAAGAAGGAGAAAGCAAAAGAAGAGAGAGAGAGAGAGAGAGGAGAAGAGGAAAGAGAGACAGAGAGAAGAGAAGAGGAAAGAGAGAGAGGAGAGGGTGGGAAGAAGGAGAAAGTGAGAGAAAGAGAGGAGAGACGTTGACAGAGAGAGAGAGAGAGAGAGAGAGAGAGAGGAGAAGAGGAAAGAGAGGCAGAGAGAAGGAGAGAGAGGTGAAGAGGAAAGAGAGAGAGGCAAGGATGGGAAGAATGAGAAAGCGAAAGAAAAATAGAGAGGAGAGGAGAGACGGACAGAGAGAGAGGAGACAGAGGAAAGAGAGAGAGGAGAGGGTGGGAAGAAGGACAAAGCGAGAGAAAGAAGGAGAGAGAGGACAGGGAGAGGAGAGAGGGGGGGGGGAGAGAGACAGAGAGATGGTGACAAAGAGGAGAAGGAAAGAGAGAGCTGAGAGGGAGGGGAGAAGGAGAAAGGGAGAGAGAGAGAGAGAGAGAGAGGAGAGAGGGAGGGGAGAGAAGGAGAGAGAGAGAGAGAGAGAGGAGAAGAGGAAAGAGAGACAGAGAGATGGCGAGAGAGAAGAGAAGTAAAGAGAGAGAGAGCAGAAAGAAACAGAGGGAGAGAGAGAGGGAGAAGAAGAAAGAGATGACGAGAGAGAGAGGAAAGAAAGACAGAAAGAGAGAGAGGGAAGAGAGAGAGGAGAGAAGGAGTGAAAGAGAGAGAGATAAACTAACACTTACAATAGAGAAAAGGGAAAAGAAGACAAGAGAAGGGGAAAAATGATGGTGAGATAGAGGGAGATGGAAAGAAAAATACACTAAATAAACAACAAGGAGAAGGAGAAAGGGAGGAGAGAGAAGAGGAGAAAACAAAGGGAAACACAGAGAGACTGACTACACTACACTCACAAAGGGTAAAGAGAGAGAAGGAGAGAGGTGAAAAAGAGAGATGAGAGTTGAGATGTCAGAAAGGTGGGAGACAATAAAGGGGGAGGAAAAAAGTGGGAGAAAGAAAGAGAGAAGGAGACTAACAGGAGAAAAAAAGAGATGGAAGGGGAGAGAAGGGAGAGAGATGAAGAAGAGGAGAGAGACAGGAATAGAGAGAAGGAGAGAGATAGACTTATAGAGTTTGTACAGTTCACTCAATTTGGAAAAAAAAAAAGAAAAAATCCTAAATCCTCTTTACAATTTTACAACAACTTATTTATGTAACTAATAAACAAAAACAATATTTAAAGCACCAAATCCGTTTAAACTTTCTGTCCGTGCTCTGGTGGTTCTAATGATTCCTCCGTCACTGTTTATCCAACACTTCAGGCCTGGCACCGAGTCGGCAAATAAATCCGCTGAAATTGAAATCAAAGTGAAGACAATTAAAAAAGAAAATTAAAACAGAATCAATTATGCTCAAGGATTTCACTCGGAGTTTTGTGAAGGCCGACCGCGAAGACAGGACATCACAGTGACACTAATCATTTCATCACTTCTCCACTGTATTTCTCTCTCTTCCTGTCCTTCCCGCTCCCTCTCTCCTCTGTTTCTCACCCCTCGCTCTTTGTTTTCTCTTTATCTACTGCTTGTTCTCTCTTGTTTCTCCTATTTCTTTCACTCTTTCCCTTCCTTTTACCTCCCTCTACTCATTCTCCTTCCTCTCTCACTCTCTCCCCCTTTCCTCATCTCTCCATTCTTCCTCTCTCCTCTTTACTCCCCCTATATTTTCTCTTCTCTCTTTCTTGTCCTTCTCC